TTCACTATAGCGGGGTTCGACTGTATTATAAGTTTTTGCTTGCAAAATCTAATGTTTGGCAATGCAAATAAAAAGTCATAATTTTCAATGAAAAATAGCATGGTATAGATAAAATGTGGTATGGATTTTCATTGATATTTACCTGATGTACCTCCTGGAAAAGTCAGGGAATTTTTTTTTTTTCTGAAATTGAATGGGTACCCTGTTTAAATAAAAGCTATTTATAAAAGTATATTTAACAAAACATTAACGGGATTATTATTGATCATACTGAATTTATAAAGCTATATGTAAAGCAGAGAATTAAGCAAATTAAGGAAAGTTAATAAATTCATATTACTAATATAAATTTGTTAGTGGCCTTCACTAAATTTTTATTAAAATGTTTTACTTGTTGTTCAATGAAATGATTAAAAAAGTTTTTGTTTAATTTTGAAATGTTAATATAATAAGTAATGAAGCAAAACATTTTTGTCAGAAGTAGACTATTATATGTTAAATTCATAACTTTTAACAAATTTGAGATGACTGATTTTTTTATTTCAATTGTTTTTAAATTAAAGATTTTTAGCTGCTTTCGCTAAATGTTAAAATAATGAAAAAACCCTCATTTCATACTTTTTTAAAAACTGGTCTCTAAATATTGAGATTTTTCATAATGTAGTTTAAGGGCACAGGAAATTTTAAAAATAAGGTACAATAGTAAATTTTAAAAATATATTTGCAATTAGTGGATGGTGTCTCATGTAAAACATCCTACTATTTATAATTCAATTTTTATCTTTATTAAATTGAGATAATGAAGCTTTGTGACTCAGGCTCTGAACTCTCATGAAAATCTGTAATTAGTGAATGATCCCAAAGTTAAGTTCAAGAATTATGGTACTGATCTATAAATAAAATAGCAGAAGAAGACCATTAATTCGTCAGTGAGGAATATGATGGTTTTTCAATTTGTTTTCAAAGGGCAGAAAATAAGGCTTCTAATTGAGAATCTCCTGCAAAATGCAGCACAGTTTCATATGAGAGTGCAAGAATCTTTTACACCAAAACCAGTTTATGAGGTGTTTTTAAACTTAACAGTACCATAAAGAATTTTTCATTAAAAAGAAATAAGATCCTATTTATAAAATATTTAAAAAATTTATCTTACCATTGTGTTTTATTTTTCACAATTGTAATAAATCTTCCTAATTGAATTGACTTACAAAATTCGAATTATGAAAGTTTAGCTAATTACATATTTTTCTTTCTTTGTTGTTTAGATAAATTGTTTTTTATTTACTCAATGCTATTAGATGGTAGCCTCAGAACAATAATGTAATATAATGGTTTAATGCTCTAAAATTATGCCAAGAGGGCACACTATAATTTGCTATGAGAAAAGAAGAAAACTCAAAGCATAGCACTGAACCCCTTCACAAACCTATTCTTAACACAAATTTGGTGTTAAATAACATAAGGAGAACTTTTAATATATATAAAACTACCAGCTTAAAAATCAAAAGAAGCAGGACTAACAAAGCATAGCACTGAACCTTATCGAAGAAAGGGAAAGAATTTATTGAAATTTAATCACTGGTCTGGAAGACCAGTTACAAAACAATATTGCTAGTAAAATTTCTAATTTTGATTAGTCAATTACAAAATATGTTTTTTTTTTTTTTTCTTTGAAAGAAAATGGCTTTTAAAATTTATAAAACAAATTAAACTTAACAAATACTCTGGTTAGAACTTGACAAATACACTGCACCCATAGACTTGTTGAAGCCGATTTGTATGTTGTGCTAAAAGCGCCACCTACATTAATTAGAAAAAAAGTTACTTCTTTAGTTGGTTTTCATTAAGTCTACATTTGATTCTCAAAAGACATTAGTAATGTAATGAAAATGAATAATAATAAATTTTAATTGAAGATAAATAATAGATTTCAGTTAAATTTAAATTTTTTTAAATTATCTTGTTTTTAAAAACAGTAAAAATGGAATTGATTGAATAAAGAACTTTTCAGTAATTCACCATTAGTTTCTTTTCACTTAGGAGTGTCTTTTTTCTAACATTTGAAAATACACATTAATTTTATTTTATATTTAATTAAGAATTCTTATCTTTATTTTTTTCTTTTCCTAACGAAAGGAAAATCAGGAAAGTTTGAGAACTTGTGGAAGGATGAACCTCCTCCAGATGATCAAGTCATTAAAACGGTACTTTTGTTTTTCAAAATTGTAACTCTTTGTTTTTTTCCTTCTACATCAGGCATTTTCTTTACCTGTCTTTCTTATTTTTTCAGGTTTCCCTAAACTGGACAGCTTTGATAGATCCTAGACTGATTCCGTAATTAACTTAGAATTAATCTATTGCTTAGTTCAATTCACAATGTACTCAGATTCAACTATACAAATAATTGCTATATAATTGCAATTTATATGTTAATTCTAGTTATCTGTACATTATTTTGTATATGTTTGGAATGTACCAGCTTTTCTTCATAGGTGTACCTTATGTTAAATATTTGTGTTCTAATGTTAAATACTTGTAAATTTATGAAATAAATTTAATAAGAATGTTAGCTGAAAAATCTTTATTATATTTTGAATTATTCAATCTTAGACAATGTTGCTAAATTTAAAAAATATAATAATTTATTTTTGATCTAGAAATGAGCATATAAACCCTTTGTGGTCGTATGTCTACTTTCAACTACCAAAGCTGCTAAAGGCACGTTTACAAGCACAACTAGAATATCCCGGGGAAAAGAGATGTACAGATTTTAATAAGTTTTTCAGTGTGTTTGCGTAATTAAAAGCATTTTATTTTAAAAAGATATCTGATAAAAATAGATTTAAAAGGATAATTAAGGACATTAGCAATTACTTCAATTTAGCAATTGATTCAACTCAGGTGGTTGAATACAAGCCAGATTTGGTTGCAACTTATATAGTCAAATTAAATTAGTTATTTTAAAAAAACTAATTAATATACAAGAATTTATGGAAAGTAACTTTCCTCGCGTCATACTGTTTAACAGAATTGCTCTTCAGTACTAAAATTGTTTTTTGCAATAATTACTCTTATTTTATTATAATATACTATACAAATACTTTTTCAACTAGATAATTTTTTTCTCAATCTTATCAAAAGATTGAACATATGAGACTCTTATTTGATACTTTTATTTATAACAATACTATAAAAGTATCAAACTCCTTTTTTTTTTTTTTTTTTTNTTTTTTTTTTTTTTTTTTTTTTTTTTTTTTTTTTTTATTGGCAATGTCATGTCATTTTACACTTGTTTTTATCCATTGTATTGGTATTTTATTTCTTCAGGCCTTTTGCTTGGTTTTAGCTACTTCATTAATTTTAGCTAAATACCTTTTAACTATTGTAATCTCTTTTCATGCTTTTGTTTGGTTTTGGCTAATTTGTAAAATGTAGCTTTTAACTACCTTTGTGTTTTTCCCTCATCTTTTTTCTAATGTTTAGTTATCTTATATTTGCTTTTAATTATTGTACTGGTATTTTACTTATTCAGGCCTTTTGCTTGGCTCTAGTTGCATTCTTATTGTGGTTTCAAATCCATTTTACCGTACAATACTTTTTTACCATACAATAAAGTGATTTCTATAGTAATATTTTTTTAATTAGTATAATTCAGCGAATTTAAGGTAAATATTACTGTAATATTTATGGTACATATGATTTTTTTTCCATAACATATTCTTTTAAAAATGGTAGGCTTTCATGGTAAATTGTATCGACAACACGAGTGCCGTTAATTTTTACCGTAATTTGATGAGGAATGTTATACAGTGTACCATTCTCTACAATTCCATTCAACTTTTTCAGTAAATAATAAAATGTAGATAAGGTTAGAATTAAAATGTCAAGGTCCCATTTTTTTCATTTGATACGAGGACAATCTTGGAAATGAAAATTTATATAAATCATTTTTCATTTATTATATTTTACCTGAATTAATCAACAGATTTTTAAATTCTGTATGTTACAAGTAACTAATGCATTTTTCCTAAAAAATATTAGATGTTGCAAAACTTTATAGTTCAAAAATTTTTTATACCATTTTTAAATTAAATGATGAAATTTTTTTGTAATTATAATAAATTATTTTTTGATTAATCTGTTAAATATTGTTCTGATAGTTTAGACAGGAGAGTTGTAGATAGTTTGGATTTCTTAATGTTAATTCCACTTCATACATGTTTCAATATATCTCGTATGCTTTTTAACCAAATTCAAAAATATACAATTATAAAATTCGTTTAATTATTTATTCTTTATTATTTAAAATAATTATAATAGAAAATTCTAAAGGGTTACACATTTAACATCGTTTTAAAGTGCACAGTTTTGTATGACAAAATACACAACTTGATTGAAATCGGTCGTTATGTAATTTTAAGAGTCATATTTTAAAAATAAAAACAATTTCTCCAGAATCATTTACACAAGTAAAGAAAAATAAACAAATTCCTTTTTCCGAAAACTAAGTATTTGACTAAAAAAGGATTGGAAATTATAAGAAAATATTTCACAAATCTTTGTGAAAGCCTATCTCGTTCAATTGTGTTAATAACCAATTTCAAACCATATTGTACAGATTATGTCTAAATAACTTATATTTATATTATACCAAAAGTGTAAATTTATCGAATAAAGCTACGTTAATTCAGTGAAATAAAGCCTTTTTTCTTTATCTGATTTAATCTTTTTTAACAGATGATGTAACCCTCATATTCCAATATAATGAAATCTGATCAAAAAATGTATAGTTAAGATTATATAAATAGGTTGGTTATTCAAGGTGCTTTCCTTCATTACAAGCACTTCGCATTCAGTTTAATTAATATTCTGCTCTATTAAATAGTATACTACTATATTAATGTATTCACTGTGGAATCAAATTAAATGACTTTCTTAGCCAGTAATAGTAATATCTTAAATTAAAATTCCAATTCAATTAATTTCATTGTATAAGAGTTTTGATTTCAATCTTGGCTATTGATGTTTTTAATAACAGGTATTTGATGTTAAATATTTAGGGTTATACTTTTGAAACTAAATTCACATGATACTGTTACGGACTGGTTCCTTTCTGTCCTGCCAGTATAGATTTCGAGACTGGCTCTGTCATTCGCGAGGTCTTTACGCGATGATTCTGGAATCCTAGACGTTCGGTCGTCTTTGAGACTATTCGAAAATTTTGGAGATGCAGTGAAAAATTATATAAAAGGGGAAATGGAGTTAGTCAGACTAAGAGTTATCTCTGCCGCTTGTCGCCAAATCTGTTTTGTTTTGTCTTAACAAAGACTTCATTCAATCGCCGAACCCGTCGTCGCCACTATTTCGACTAGTGAAGAAAACAGTAACAATACCATTGGAGATACTGTGCTCGTTGGAAGTTATTCATTCCAGCTCGAAACTTTGAGATCGCAGCATAGCGGATATTTCTGTGCCAATATATATATATATAACATCTAAAATACTTGCTCAATAAAATTAAAAGGATCTTTTGAGACTAAACTCAAAAAGAATTATATCTATTTGCAGATAAGCTTATCTGGTTTCTGAGAACATTAAATTTCTCTTTCACCTACTTAACTTAGCCCTTCGCGTATATAGTAAGTTCCGTTGAATAACGATGAAATCTTTATTTGTAAAATGAATCCACACCACGCAGTAAAATATCGTAACGAAGCTGAATTCCCATTAAAATCAAGACTATGTTGAGATATTAGTTCATCTCCATCTGGTCTTCAGATCTTACGGCGCACCCGCTTCTAACATGTAAACAAAAGAGGTCTGGATGGATCACATGAACTACGTTAAAAAAGGGAACACTTATATTTTGGATATGGAAGGATAAAAGATGTGTCTCGGAGCTTTGCTCCAATTGTATATAATTTGTAAATAGATTCTTTATTCAATAAAAGTACAGAAAATTCATTATGTTATGACTGCAAATTCTACGAAATGCAATATAATGATTAATGAAACGCCACAGCTCAAGAGTTTACGAGAAAACACGAGGAGCACTACATCAAAGTCTACAGGATTCTCTCTGCCCGGGAACCCCTATGGAATAGCATGTGAATTTAAAGATTATTGCAAGTAATTTTTGCTTTGAAGAAATTAACTGGAATTAAGAGATGCAATAAGAAAGGTTTGATGAAGTTCCATTATCGGCCCTTTCTCTGCTTGGAGCTAGACAATTATAGTCGGAGGTCCCATTTGCCCCCCTGAAGCTCGATGGAGATCCAAGGATGAACTTCACCGAAGGAGGGATGACCTTACTTCCTCCCTGTGAGTTTGCCGAAGAGATGACCTTATTTCCGCCCTGTGTGTTCGCGAAGGTAATGATTTTCGCCGCCCCCGAGGATAAAGACTGACTCTCGCAGGAGAAAAAATAGAGAAGGAGCACTACAGCGTTTGTGGTTTAATATTTCCACATATATATTTGCTTTTCTTGGAATTTTGGGATGTCAAAACGCAAGAATATAACTATTTTTAATTATGTTTTAGAAAAAATCACAACCTGAAATTAGTGAGGTGACAGCATCTAGTACCAATGTAAGTTTTTTTGTTTTACCGAAATGTGATACATACTTCCGTTGACGAAAACATTTCTAGCATAACATAATCTGATGAATGTGAAAGTGGCCTTCAAAGTGTTACTTTCCAGCCATATGACATTGAACTTTTTTCAGAAGATATTACATTATGTTCTTAAACTTAAAAAATCAAATCAAAATTTAACTAAACAATGTTCTCTAAATAAAAAGTCAAAATTAGGGAAATAATAGTACTTTATTACAGATTCGAATTTCTTTTAGTAGTTTCAAAAAATTATGAACACCCCCCTTGAAAAAATTCTGCGTACGCCACTGATGTGCAATAAAATACAGAAAGACATTAAGATATATTTTTGTGCGCATGTTCAAATGAATCAACGTTTCAAATGAATTATTTTACTATAGTGGTTACATAGTCAGTCTTTACCACCATGTTCAAATTTATTATTCAGTTTACCCGATGTAGCGACTAAAAACTTTTAAATATTAAAGAACATTTAAGAAAGCATTATAAACTTCTTACACGAAATAGAGCTATAAGCTAGCAAGTACCACTCATTTTAAGTTTAAAATATTTGAAAAAATAAATCATAATTCAATTAAAATGGTCACACGCTTAAGCAATAATAAATTCTGCATCAGAATGGGGTTCTCCCAGAAATAACCTTCTATTATATTTAAATAAATAAGCAAACAACATCACTAAAACTAAATAAAATTCACACTTTAAACAAAACTTATTTCCTACCAAACCACTGATCAATGCAGAGTTAATTCTAAAGTGCATTGTTCGTCATTTTAACATGGTCTTTATTCAAGTAACAACTATTTGCCTAAGATTTATTGGAAAATCACTAGACACCTTGGTCTCAAAGTAATTTCTTGTTTTACAATTTTTCTCAAATCACTTCCACGAGTTCTTTCGATTTTCAATATATTACAATATGCATTTTTATAATCTGAATGCGTCACTTTTGGA